AATGTTCTCGTTCATAAAATAAAAAAAAGAATATGTATCTGATAGGATTGCCAAATAAGACCTACTAAAGATTAATTGGCAATAAATAAAGACTAATCACGAATCTTTCAATATAAGTATTAAGTACTTGTAAGTAAATAAATGCTATCAAACTTAATTTAATAAATGTTAGTTTCCTTCCTTCCCTTCTATAACTTAGGCAGTGAGAATCCCCCAAGCTGATACAGTATTGAAGTAATATATTTATACATACTTAAAAAGAAGAGACTCTGATGACATGTATTTGAATAGATACATTGGTAATTTGTATTTGCAGGATCTAATCCTAAATTTTAGAAAATGGGAATTAAATAATGTGCAACTATCACTTAACTCTCTCCAAAAGGGGGGAGTGATAAGGAGAAAAGAAGAAACACAGAAAAGAAAGGTAAATTAGAAATTAGAGATCATTAACTTCCAATTCCTATATTTAGAACAACCTTCCTCTTCTTATAAAGACATGCAGCAAGAACAGGATTAATACCTAAAATAAAAATATTCTATATTTACTTAAATCTATATAATTCTCACGTATATTTCACGTATATTTCTACTGAACTTTCACCCCTTAAATTGTGGTATCACTGGTAAAGTGTAGAGAAAAAAAAAAAAAAAAGACAACATCTCATATCAGACACACAAAAAGGTCCTCTTGCTCCTTTAATAATTTAATAAGCTTTAAATTTTCTAACTACAAAAGTAAATCTTAACGTTTTCTTTAACTACTGCTCACTTTTCAGGCTAAAATCCCTTTTATGTTCTTCAAAAGAAATTTTACTTTCTAGGAACCTTATAAATCATTTACTATACATCATTCAAATATCCTCCATACTCTATCTGGAATACAGCTAACAGTGCTTGTTTAATACTTTCTGCCTGATAACCACCTAGAATTTTGTGGAATGTGCTGCCTACCTTCATATTCTCCCAAGGATATGGATATAATTTAGATTCTGAACTCAAGGAAGGGTTTATGTTAAGCAATTAATTCAATTTTATTCAACATATTTTATGTAATCAAACTTGACTTTGTAAGAAGTAATTGGTATCTGGTTTAGATTTTTCTCTCATGTTTCAGTTACTTCTATAACCTTTCTAAAATTGGAATTTCTTGTCTACCCTTAAACTAGTTATTAAGTGCTACTGAACATTCCATAAAATTCATGGGAAAAGATTCATCCATTACATATATGCAAGAGTAAAAGGATTATTTTAGGCTACCACAACATCTAGAATACTACTGAGAACAGTAAAGACTCTTTACTGTAATAAGCTGAAAACCAGTTTAAAAATGAATTTTATCACAAGTCAATCAGTATATGCTAGGAACAGTTCTACAGCTATCAAATGCTCTGGCAGCAAGTAACCAAAAAATAACCATCTGCAACTCTTCAAGGTTACTGTAAAATGATATACAAACAACAAACACTCTAAATCACTTTTTTTTTTTTTTTGAGACAGAGTTTCACTCGTCACCCAGGCTGGAGTACAATCATGCAACCTCCGCCTCCTGGGTTCAAGAGGTTCTCCTGCCTCAGCCTCCTGAGTAGCTGGGATTACAGGCGTGCGCCAGCACACCTGGCTAATTTTTATATTTTTAATAGAGACGTTTTCGCCATGTTAGCCAGGCTGGTCTCAAACTCCTGACTTCAGGAGACCTACCTGCCTCCGCCTCCCAAAGTGCTGGGATTATAGGCCTGAGCCACCACGCCTGGCCTCTAAACTACATTTTAAGGCTTCATTTTGGGTAGTGTTTTTCAAGCTAAGGACTGCAATTTATTAGCGGATCCAAAATTAATTTAATGAGTCCAGACCAGCAAATGAAGAAGGGAAGGGTGAGAAAGAGGAGGAATAAACAGAAAACATCTGAGTGCACAGGTAGTAAGAGTATGGTTTCATTAACTTTTTTCTCTATGTACATAGTACCCTAAGCAATGTGTATTTTAAGGGTAGGTTTGAGTAAAAGTTAGGAAACACTAATCTGGGAGACAAACAGAAGTGGAAAGGATAAAGCAATGGAACTGTCAGAATTACCAACTTGTGGTTTAGGAGGTGAGCAAGACTAATAGCTTCTACTGACTAGGAGACAGAGGTTTTGGAAACTCCCATAGATTTGTAAAAGCCAGACATCCCTATGTGAAAAATGACAAAGCACTTTTTCCTCTTACAGTAAGCCTAGGACAATGCGTTGCAAAGCTTGTGGTTGTCACTACTGACATTTTTATCCCTTCAAACTTCCAAAGGTGGCAGAGGTCAACCTTTACTCTCTCCTCCTAACTCTTAGGCACATTGAATGCAGTTAAGATACAGTAGCCCCTGAAAGATAATTACAGGTCCTTGAACAACTACTTCTGGAAAACTTTATATTCTAGATTACAATTTAGAGTTTCAGGTAAGACTGACATTCAGACAAGTTAATTTGGAAGTGTAACAGTCACATATCAGAGCCCATAAAAATCATCATCTGGAGAGTAGTACCAAAATAAACAACAAAAAAAGTTTTTATGTATGTGAAATGTTTCAAAAATCTGAAGCACACCTTAGAGTCATTTCATTTTCAAGAGTCACTCTGTGAAGAATTAATATTGGAATTCCCCAAATATTGGCCAATCAACCTGCTTTTCTTTGCTAACAGCGATTCTGAATATTGTTTCATTAATAGAGCTAACTGTTTTTGAAGCTATTTAAAACACACACACACTTTTTACTGTATAGGGGACAGTTTCACAAATTACAGCTAGTATCTGTTCTAAGAGGTTCAAGACGATAGCTATTTCTCAGGATGCATCCACTACCCATTACAACTACTATATATTCTAAGTTACCCAATTCCCGCTATTGTTACAGAACCACATCCCCCCATACTATTGTTATAGCCCTTTTTCACTATTATAAACCCATACATGGTTAGAGACAGAAGAGGACAAAAAACATGCAGCTATAAAGAGGATTTCTCAGTTCCAGGGTGAAGGGTTCCCTTTAATCTCTGCTGATACAGTTTAATGTTCTGCCTGGTTCACTACCTCCTTTTTTTTTTTTTTACACTTTGAAACTTGCTGTGGCTTGAGACAACCACCTTTGGCATAATCACCTGCTGGTTTTATAATCTGGGCCCACACTGTTGGAAAAAGGAGTTTCAGTCTTTGCTTACTAACAATTCCTCACTGAACACAAATTCCAAAAAGATAAAGCTTTGATAAGCACCCACCAGAAAGTCACTTTGTGTACAAGTACTAAAGAAGGCACCAAAACAAATTAAGGGGTTCACAGCCTCTTATCCCTCGAGGCAAAAGACTTGTAGTTCAAACACTGATGACACAGGTTTTAATGAAAGAAGAGCCCATTTATTTATCTATTCTGATCAGACATCACAGAAATTCAATTCTTATTATAGCAAAGGACAAAGCTGGACAATCCTAATCACCCCAAATTAAAGATACCTCTCAATTTCTTCTCTCTCCTGGGCCATTACACCAAACCTAGAGCAGAACTATATCCACCTTCAGGCCAGAAGAAACAACATAATAGCTTATTGATCTCTGGTGTAGACCCAAACCCACAAGTCATCAGGCAAGCAGGGATCACAGCCACTTGAAGCAGCTAACTATCAAAAGTCGTGCACTGGGTTTTTGGTCCCACACAAGCACACCTTTGGCAATTACCTCTACATAAAAAATGGACCAAACCACTCTCCTCACCAAAACAAACAAAAATACTATTAATCAGGTACGGGAGGAACACACCCTGAATTGTACCAAAAAGACTACTATTTCTTGGCTGTCGGTAAATGCCCAATTACGTTCATTAATTCTTCATTTAGTGTCACTTGCCAGGTTTCAAAAGCCACTATCACATTCAATTCCGTAGATAAATGCGTTCAACAGATAATACTTGCTGACAAATTGGCTGTTGACTAAACCTCACTACCACCACCATTATACTAGTCAAATCAGTGTTTGTGGCAAATGACTTAGACTTTTTATAAGTAAAATTTACCAAAGTAATGATAACTTCTAATTCTTTTTCTGAGGAAATCAAAGCAACACTCCAAAAAGGAAAGGTTAAAACTGAGCTCTCTGAAACACCTATTCAATGTGTTTAACTGATGAACTAAGAACGGTGAAGTCAGAAGTAGAACTCAATTATCTTAAGAGATAAATGTTCTTTGCAATTAATTCCATTCAGCTCTTGCTCAGACCCCAACGCAATACAAAGCTGTCCTCACACAGTCTTCAGCCTTCTCTTAACCCGATCCATCGACTGGAATAAAGTAACAGTGACCACAGCGGCGGACGATGATGGATGAAATTACAATTGAACTGGGGGCCAGGACACCCTAAGAGCGACAGACTGAGGTGGGGCTGGAAACTATTTTCTGGCCTTCTCCCGCGTGCTGCTCCCGGGAAACCAACAGGATCCTGCACGCCCGGATTCGGCAGAGCCCTTGCCCGCGAGGTGGAGGGGTGGGGAGAAGTCAGCAGGGAGCCTTCTCAGGGACTCGGGTAGGGAAAGGGCTGGTGCGGTGGGAATCTCACCGGTGCGGGTGGGGGCGGGGCGGACCGTCCCGGCAGCGGCGGGGGCGACCTCCTCTGCTTTCTCACAGTCATACATCTTTGTGTGTGGATTGTGCCGGGCTATGGGTCCTCGAGCAGCTGGCCGCGGGGGCCCTCCAGCGCAGGTCGGGAAGTCCTCCCGCCACCCGCTCGCTCCGCCGGGGCCCTCCTGGCCGGGACCCTCAGCTCCTCTCCACCACCCAAGAGTCTGAAGGTGGGCGAGTGGAGGAAAGCATCTCCGTGTGGGGATACCCGTTCCGCCACCTCCACCCCCTCGCCGGTCTTTGTCCCGCCGGCAGCCCGGCTCTCCGCCGGAGTCTCCAGGGGAACCCCAGTCCTGGAGGCCTCGAGGGCCCGGGTCGCCTCAGCTTTGTTCGGTCAGCGGGGCGCGGGGACACGGACACTTACCGTACACCCCAGCGAGGAAAAGCAAGAGCAACGCAGACCTCCACCGCGGAGACTCTTTTGTGCTCCAGCGACGGGCCATAACCACGGCAGATGGAGAGAGAGAGGAGGAGATGGAGGAGGAGGGAGGAGGAGCTGGGGGTAGACGCCGCCGCCGCCGCTGCCCTCTGGACGCCGCCGCGCTCGGGGTTTCTTTCTTTTTTTTTTTTCCCAACCCTGATGGGAAGGAAGGTGACCGCCTACTTCGCATTCATCAACTCTCATCACAACAACAAAAATCCTGGCGCAAACGGCGGCCAGCGGGCGCAATCGGTGGCGGGGGCGGGCGGGGACCCCCGAGCC